AAATTTATTTTAAACTTATTTCCTAATAAATTTTACTAACATTTTTAAAGGAACAAAAACAAAAACAAAAAATCAAAAAAGCAAAGACATCTGTAAAAATAATTCAAAATTAGGAGCCAGAATATTTTCTTCTGGTTCCAATTCTTCCATTTAATCCTGTACAAGTCACAGGCCCTATCTGTTCTTCATAAAGCTCTAATTTAAATAGAAGATTAACTAGTTGTATAAACCATATACTGTTGCTATATTTTATTTCTCAAAAATGTAAAAATACATGTGCTTGTGAATTAGTTTCCTATTGCTACTGTAACAAATAAGCATAAATTTACTGCTTTAAGGCAACACAAATTTACTATCTTACAGTTCTAGAGGTCAGAAGTCCAAAATGCATCTTATGGGTCAAGAGGTAAGCAGGGCTGCGTGGTTTCTTCTGCAGGCTCTGGGAGGAATCTGCTCCCTGCCTCTCTCAGCTGGAGGGGGACTTCTTGTATTGCTTGGCTGTGGCCCCACATCACTCCAAACTCTGCTCTGTCATTACATGTTTGACTATGACCCTCCTGTCTCCTTTTTGTAAGAAGAACCCACCCAGCTAAACCCAGGATAAAACTCCCATCTCAAGACCATTAATTTAATCACACCTGCTAAATTCCTTTTGCCATGTAAAGAAACATGCAAATTCCAAGGATTAGGATGTGGACCTCTCACGTGGGGCCATTATTCTGCATGCTACACCCCAAAAAATCACTGACAGATGATTTTCAAATATAATAGGCAAAAGGAAGTTTCAGATCATCAAATCAATTAACTATATAATGGCAATGTTTTAATATGGAATATGATAGAAAATCCAACTCCTCTTGTCAAAGTGTTAGCTAATGTATTGTTGAGCTTATTTTAGGAAAAGCAAGATTTTTTTCTTTTTTGAAATGAGAATGTGCTATAACTAGATTATTTCCCAATTATACTTTGTGCCTTATAGCCTCGTGAAGGATGGAGAGAAAAGAGAAAGGGGGAAAGGAAGCTAAAATCACTTACAAAGTGTTTACTTTCCCTATTAGAACATAAGATAGGAAGATACCATAAAACTGAAAGTAAGTTATAGCTATAAAAATTGAAACTGTTCTTCAATATAACAGTTGTCTTATAGAAATAAATATAATTAACTGAAAATTGTTAAATAGGTGTTTAGTGAGTATTTGTTCATTATTACTAAGATTCTAAACAGAGGTTAGGTCAGAGTCCTTGTTGTATCAAAGTATCAGTGGTTCAAAGTTTTCAACAAGTCTCTCCATGGTACAGGTAATAAGGTCCCAAAGGCCCACATCTTGTTCTGGTCCCAGGTCTACCACTAACACCCTGTGAGATGGGAGAAGCAAGTGAGCCTTCTTAGTCCTTCATTGCACCACTGATGCAGTGAGGGTTACAGTGGAGCTCATGGTGATTCTATAACATACACTATTCACATTACTACCAACCTTCAAAAGCAAGTGAATGGTATGTCAGCTGGGATAAATGAAGCACATATTTAAAATGGTTACCTGTCCACAGCCACAAACAACTCTCTAAGACCTCTGATATTTCTCCCTTCTTGCTCCTTCTCTCCTTTTTCTCTCTCTCTCTCTCTCGAGTGCACACACCAAATTATCTGTGTCAAATTATCACCTAATTCCAAATAGGAGACGGATTATGAATCAAAAGAATGTTTCATTGTTTACAACTTTCCATTACCATCAAAGTTTCCTAATTTGAACCATCATCCATTGACTTTAAAACTTCTTCCAGCACACTGGATTTAAGTACCAATACAGCATGTGTCATTGGGAAGTTAAGATCACCACTACTGTAGATGCAAGCTGGGCATTCCTTCCAAACAACCCCTTCTACCTCCTTAGTTTCTCAAAGAAACTCTGGACTGCAATTTCCTCTTAGTTCCCAGGGCCTTCAACCCCCTGGGCTGAACTGTTTCCCTTATCATAGGTCTCTGCAACAGAGGATCAGTTAGAAATCATTGATAAAGATTCTCCAAACCCAACAACTCTATAAGTAAACATTAACTTCTCTACCAGACCATCCAAAAGAGTTTTCTTTTATTTCAAATCCCCTGTCTACTAGCTGTAAACATTAGATGTTTAACTTCATCACAGTTTCTTTAGGCACCAAGGTAATCTTGTTTTCACTGACCAAAAATAAAAAAAGAAAAAGAAAGAAAAATGTTCTGCTCAGAAAAATAAGGGGTAAAAAGTGTGGGAAGTGCTAATAACTGCAGTCTAGGAAACAGGTGAAGAGCTTTACCTTGAGCTGGCCCGTGACGCCGCAGCAGCTGACCGTCTCTTACCATGCAAGAGACTAAGGTTCAGGGTCAGACTAATGATTCTGACGTCCTGGGCTGGACACACAGTTGAAGTGAGACACCAAGGAAGAGACGGCCAGCCCAACCCCTCACACAGCATCCCTTCCTGGTTAATCCATGGAGTGACAATGACACTGACTGGCCTCATCCTGCCAATGAATGGCAAGGCACTGCAATGATGGCGCCTAGAAATGAACAGGAGTGATTGGGAATAAAAGGGGGAGGGGGAAAAGGTGGCCATGATGAAGAAATGAATAAAACTCAATTTTCTGTTACAACTCACTGTCAACCCTATTACTTTGATTTCATAATGACAGGAGAAATTAAAAAAATGAAAGAAAAAAGAAACAAAAAAGAAAACTTGCTACCTATTTAAATTCCTGCAGCATTCTAAGAATATGGGTTTGTACCCTATAGCCTGACTACAAAGAACTAGAGCAAGCAGTTGATTCAATTTAGCTCATAAACCTATAACAAAGAATTTTTTTTTTTAATTATCAATGTTTCTAAATTCTGACGCTTTAGTTTTACTTTTTATTACAGCAGAAACTCAATCCACGCTATTAAAACAGACCATACTTACCAAACAATCCCTTGGGCCCCAGAGCCAATTGATTTCAGCTGCTGGTAACGTTTTAGGACGGTGAAAGTTGAGTCTGCCACTTGCACACTGTAAAACTGACTGTCACATTTACTGTCGCTCATGATGTAGTGTCATGCAATATTCTGAAGGGCTGGCAAGTTTCAGATTCCTTCAAAGAAAAAGAGAATGAACACGCATTCTTACCGGAAGTATACATACACAGCTCACTTAATAGTGTTCCAAACTTATTGGTATATAAGACAATGTGGGCCAGGCACGGTGGCTCAAGCCTGTAATCCCAGCACTTTGGGAGGCCGAGGTGGGTGGATCACGAGATCAAGAGATCGAGACCACCCTGGTCAACATGGTGAAACCCCGTCTCTACTAAAACTACAAAAAATTAGCTGAGCCTGGTGGCGCGTGCCTGTAATCCCAGCTACTCAGGAGGCTGAGGCAGGAGAATTGCCTGAACCCAGGAGACAGAGGTTGCGGTGAGCCGAGATCGCGCCATTGCACTCCAGCCTGGGTAACAAGAGCGAGACTCTGTCTCAAAAAAAAAAAAAAAAAAGACAATGTGGCTGTAAGTTGATAAAGTCAGTTTGACTAAGTTCTGAACTTGAGCAAGACACACAAAAAATGCAGACATTTCAGTGGTACCAGACCATTATGAAGGGAAGGAATTCTGAGGCCCAACAAGACCATATTTTAAGGGACTAGACTAGAAAATAACCACCTTTGGAGAGAAGAATTTATGCATTACTACTGGCTGTGAAAAGACTACATCACTCTATGCTTCTCATCAGCTTCCCCTCTGTGGAACCATTTATACCCAGCTGTCTCAACTAGAGATGGGGGCATTGTTTCAAAATGATCACTTCTAGAATGCCTGAAGAGAAGTAAATGGGCTAGTCTTCTGCTCAGTGTATAGATTCAGGTTGAAGTGATGAACCAGAAAGCAAGATTCATATGCCAAAGTAACAGGCTGTCAGAGGCTTGGTGACATCAGTGTGCTGTGGGTGCCCAAGCGTGTGCTCCTGCCTCAGGAGGTGGAGCCCAGAGCTGGCATTAGCTGGCACAGCCCCAGAGTCCCACATCACCACCGGGCTTCAGAGTAGATATCTGTATATGAAGAACTCTGCTGTGACCTACAGTCCATAATATTAACAGTATGAAGTCTATTCACTATGTCCGAGTGTAGACCAGCAGACCCAGAAGAAAGCAGCTTTTCTGTGGTTAAGGCACAGGCTGAGATTCCTACTCTGTAGGAGCCTGGATGATTTTCTATAGAAAACAAGCAAACAGAAATTGGTGAGTGGTTCCCAAGATCTTGTCTGATGATGCTTATTTAAAACTCAGCAAGCTATTTATTTTAGTCTTTTAAAACTATATAGCCAACAGGCCAGGAGCAGTGGCTCACGCCTGTAATCCCAGCACTTTGGGAGGCCAAGGTGGGTGGATCAGAAGGTCAGGAGCTCAAGACCAGCCTGGCCAACATGGTGAAACCCCATCTCTACTAAAAAAATACAAAAATTAGCTGGGCACGATGGCGTGTGCCTGGAATCTCAGCTACTCAGGAGGCTGAGGCAGAACTGCTTGAGCTAGGACCTGGGAAGTGGAGGTTGCAGTGAGCTGAGATTGTGCCACTGCACTCCAACCTTTAATTATACACAGTGAGATTCAGTTTTTTGTAATTTTTTTTTTTTTAATAAAAGGGGCCCGGGTGCGGTGGCTCATGCCTGCAATCCCAGCACTTTGGGAGGCCGAGGCAGGGAGATCACAAGGTCAGGAGTTTGAGACCAG